ATTCATCCGCTCATATCCGATTAGTGAAGACTAAGTACTTTTCACTTCCCTTTGGTCACCTTCATTTGAATGAGCAGGTTTCCTCACTTCATTTTTTCGGTAGGCCACAGAAGCCTGTCGATTGCTTCCACAATCCATTTTCAGCCCACAAAACGCAATTTGACTCAAATGTCATGGATAAACATTTTCTGCATTCATGTGCATTTACCACACGCCACCTTAGGAGCATACCAAAATGGAAGCTTTGATGTCGCCAAAAATCAGCTGACATAAATGCCGTCCAAAAGAGTCTTGACACGATGCGTCACTACAACACAAGTCTTGGCATGACACGCGTAATCAGTCGGTTCCTACACACGAAATGTGCAAGGGATTCGATTACAAAACTGCTAGACATGCTCGCTGATGCTGTGCAACGTCCCCTGTTCTTCATCTCAAACCTCCAAGCTACCGTCATTCACGCCATTTGGTCCATCCTCAGTACCTACATCCCGCTTCGCTTCTTCCTTATAGGTGGTGTTCTCCTCATTCTGCACCCCATCTTTCTCCCCCACCTCAAATATCACACAAGGTAGGTAAAACACATAGATTTAGGGGTGAGTTTAGTACTTTTTTCCATCCAATCTGCATTCTTTCCCCTCCTATGTGTCATTGTAAACACGGGTCGGGTGACGGCTCCTTTACTGATTGCTTGGTTGGCTGGTTAACTGATTTTTCACCCCTTCATTAAGACTCCATCTCGCACCCCTCTCCCTCCTCCCATTTGTCTCCCCCCTAGGTGGGGGCAAGCACTCAGTGGTGCGAAGGAATTGCAAATACTCACCTTGAATGAAATGAAACACATGGAATTCTCGAATGCGAATGAAGTACCAGGAGCACCACAAAGTGCACAAACAAATGCAAGAAAATCCCGCTCACCGAGTCTCAAAATCAGAAAATCGAGTTGGTAACTGTCCACCACTTTCAATGGTCCTTATTTACTGAGTACCGTGCCGCGCTTTAGCGAAACTACATATTGATATCCATTTACTTGAAATTAACGCAATTCTGTATGAATACATGAGTCTTTAATGCCAAAATAAATACCACGAAATAACACCACGCTACTAGTGATGTTTGAGTAAACAACTGTTAAGGGAGTTTCTCTTCACTCGTTCCTGAACTGGTTCTAGAATACGGGTCGAACAAGCAACAAATCCGCTCAGCAACTCGCAGTCTACTTAATATTGAATGCCAATTCCCTTATTTCGATTACAAATCCTCACTGAACTCGCAGATGGTGCTTACAGGTATAGCATAAGACGGCAATACTTGATTCTACTTCGAGGTATTTACCTGCGCAAAGTTTCAAAGCCAAAAAAATAAACTGAACTTAGAACATACTCCCACCTATTTGAATGTTGATTTAAAGTGATGGAGTGTATTTTTAACCAGTAGACTATGGATGATGCTAGAGAGTGAAGAATACCTGCTGAGTTCGGACATTGCATCAGCGCTTGTTCGAGTGAAACGTTCCTCGCCAAAAAGACCAATTGAGTGAACAACCAAGTAGCAAGAGACAAGTAGCATTGATCTTGAAAAAAAGTGGAAACAAAGGACCTAATTGGTTGCTCGTGGGCAAAAAATAACTAAGCGGTGATTGTTAAAAGATCACGCGACCAGTCGCCTTGGCGTAGATTATTCGTCCCTTCTTAATGACATATTCAATCAAATCTTGTGATTCACCCAGTCTGAATATGATGTTTTCCCACCTAAAGGAAAAAAAAACAAACAACCAAAATTGCAAATACCGATTTATTGAAATACGGCTAAAATATCAAAAATAATTTGCCTTTAGCATATGTCTCTATATTTTATTAAAGCTTTTAATTTGTGTTTGGTATTGTTGCAAGTTGGACTAGAAGCCCTTGATATGAATGTTAATGTGGTGTCACGCAAGTGATCGTGAAATAAAGTGCAAATAGTTGGAACTACAAATAATTTAACCTTTGTCAAAAAGTCTAAGGTGAGGAAGAATATTGATGAAGCATGGCTGATGGCGCTATTGTCGGTCAGAATAATAACGTTCAATGCGTTGTGCAATTTCGTTTTAGTTGAAAGTGAAGCTAACACCATCCATCTTCATAACTTTGTTGACATCACTAGGACACAAACGTCCAGTGATTTTTACAACCTATGCGTTGTTGCATGCTTTATTTATTCGAAACACTCCCTCGGGACATGCGCCGCCTTAGTGAACCTGGAGTAGGTTATAGCTACTACCACAAACTCCTTTATCGATGAACAATCAGCAAGGGCTTTAAAATTGTTATAACTCCAATCCTAACACATGCAACAGTAAATCTAAATAAAGCCTAATCATTTTGCTGCCAAAGCTGCCCTTCTAGTTCACGATCGTGCGATGCAAAGCCATCATCAGCTGAGCTATTCACAGAGGTGGAAAGTTACTTTAACTGTAGAAGATTGAGGTGTGTAAGGGTTGGACAAACCTTCTTGTATTGATGACTACAAAGTCGCCCTGGCGTCCCTCTGTAATGGCACCAACTCGATGCGAAAGGCCGATGCTATAAGCTGCGTTTATTGTCGCTGCGGTGATGGCCTGCTCAAGAGTCATACCCAAAGTTGTGCAGGCCAAATACATCACGATGGGCTATGAATACCGAAAAAAAACTACAACTTTCATATAGAATTGTGATTCAGATAGTGAGATTCTGACTTTTCCGCTAGCAGCCCTCTCGTAATTCAGAGCAATTTTGTGGGTTTTCACGTCTTGGAGCCCGAATCACGATAAGTAGTCACAGTTTTACATCCCACATTTACTAACTGTTGTAAATAATAGTCAGAAACTCAGTAATGAGAACCTCTTCAGAGATTTAGGTTCGGGTGTTTGCATGTTTTCTGCACAATAAAATTCTTATTAAAGGTAATTAGTGGGATTTTAACATGCTCCGTCAGGATTTTGTCTAGAAATAGATGTCATCTTCGGTAGGCAGACAGCTGAAACTGAAGAGCGTGAAGAGACTCTACAAAATGCACTCCCATACTGCACAATCCATTTTCAGCCCACAAAACGCAATTTGACTCAAATGTCATGGATAAACATTTTCTGCATTCATGTGCATTTACCACACGCCACCTTAGGAGCATACCAAAATGGAAGCTTTGATGTCGCCAAAAATCAGCTGACATAAATGCCGTCCAAAAGAGTCTTGACACGATGCGTCACTACAACACAAGTCTTGGCATGACACGCGTAATCAGTCGGTTCCTACACACGAAATGTGCAAGGGATTCGATTACAAAACTGCTAGACATGCTCGCTGATGCTGTGCAACGTCCCCTGTTCTTCATCTCAAACCTCCAAGCTACCGTCATTCACGCCATTTGGTCCATCCTCAGTACCTACATCCCGCTTCGCTTCTTCCTTATAGGTGGTGTTCTCCTCATTCTGCACCCCATCTTTCTCCCCCACCTCAAATATCACACAAGGTAGGTAAAACACATAGATTTAGGGGTGAGTTTAGTACTTTTTTCCATCCAATCTGCATTCTTTCCCCTCCTATGTGTCATTGTAAACACGGGTCGGGTGACGGCTCCTTTACTGATTGCTTGGTTGGCTGGTTAACTGATTTTTCACCCCTTCATTAAGACTCCATCTCGCACCCCTCTCCCTCCTCCCATTTGTCTCCCCCCTAGGTGGGGGCAAGCACTCAGTGGTGCGAAGGAATTGCAAATACTCACCTTGAATGAAATGAAACACATGGAATTCTCGAATGCGAATGAAGTACCAGGAGCACCACAAAGTGCACAAACAAATGCAAGAAAATCCCGCTCACCGAGTCTCAAAATCAGAAAATCGAGTTGGTAACTGTCCACCACTTTCAATGGTCCTTATTTACTGAGTACCGTGCCGCGCTTTAGCGAAACTACATATTGATATCCATTTACTTGAAATTAACGCAATTCTGTATGAATACATGAGTCTTTAATGCCAAAATAAATACCACGAAATAACACCACGCTACTAGTGATGTTTGAGTAAACAACTGTTAAGGGAGTTTCTCTTCACTCGTTCCTGAACTGGTTCTAGAATACGGGTCGAACAAGCAACAAATCCGCTCAGCAACTCGCAGTCTACTTAATATTGAATGCCAATTCCCTTATTTCGATTACAAATCCTCACTGAACTCGCAGATGGTGCTTACAGGTATAGCATAAGACGGCAATACTTGATTCTACTTCGAGGTATTTACCTGCGCAAAGTTTCAAAGCCAAAAAAATAAACTGAACTTAGAACATACTCCCACCTATTTGAATGTTGATTTAAAGTGATGGAGTGTATTTTTAACCAGTAGACTATGGATGATGCTAGAGAGTGAAGAATACCTGCTGAGTTCGGACATTGCATCAGCGCTTGTTCGAGTGAAACGTTCCTCGCCAAAAAGACCAATTGAGTGAACAACCAAGTAGCAAGAGACAAGTAGCATTGATCTTGAAAAAAAGTGGAAACAAAGGACCTAATTGGTTGCTCGTGGGCAAAAAATAACTAAGCGGTGATTGTTAAAAGATCACGCGACCAGTCGCCTTGGCGTAGATTATTCGTCCCTTCTTAATGACATATTCAATCAAATCTTGTGATTCACCCAGTCTGAATATGATGTTTTCCCACCTAAAGGAAAAAAAAACAAACAACCAAAATTGCAAATACCGATTTATTGAAATACGGCTAAAATATCAAAAATAATTTGCCTTTAGCATATGTCTCTATATTTTATTAAAGCTTTTAATTTGTGTTTGGTATTGTTGCAAGTTGGACTAGAAGCCCTTGATATGAATGTTAATGTGGTGTCACGCAAGTGATCGTGAAATAAAGTGCAAATAGTTGGAACTACAAATAATTTAACCTTTGTCAAAAAGTCTAAGGTGAGGAAGAATATTGATGAAGCATGGCTGATGGCGCTATTGTCGGTCAGAATAATAACGTTCAATGCGTTGTGCAATTTCGTTTTAGTTGAAAGTGAAGCTAACACCATCCATCTTCATAACTTTGTTGACATCACTAGGACACAAACGTCCAGTGATTTTTACAACCTATGCGTTGTTGCATGCTTTATTTATTCGAAACACTCCCTCGGGACATGCGCCGCCTTAGTGAACCTGGAGTAGGTTATAGCTACTACCACAAACTCCTTTATCGATGAACAATCAGCAAGGGCTTTAAAATTGTTATAACTCCAATCCTAACACATGCAACAGTAAATCTAAATAAAGCCTAATCATTTTGCTGCCAAAGCTGCCCTTCTAGTTCACGATCGTGCGATGCAAAGCCATCATCAGCTGAGCTATTCACAGAGGTGGAAAGTTACTTTAACTGTAGAAGATTGAGGTGTGTAAGGGTTGGACAAACCTTCTTGTATTGATGACTACAAAGTCGCCCTGGCGTCCCTCTGTAATGGCACCAACTCGATGCGAAAGGCCGATGCTATAAGCTGCGTTTATTGTCGCTGCGGTGATGGCCTGCTCAAGAGTCATACCCAAAGTTGTGCAGGCCAAATACATCACGATGGGCTATGAATACCGAAAAAAAACTACAACTTTCATATAGAATTGTGATTCAGATAGTGAGATTCTGACTTTTCCGCTAGCAGCCCTCTCGTAATTCAGAGCAATTTTGTGGGTTTTCACGTCTTGGAGCCCGAATCACGATAAGTAGTCACAGTTTTACATCCCACATTTACTAACTGTTGTAAATAATAGTCAGAAACTCAGTAATGAGAACCTCTTCAGAGATTTAGGTTCGGGTGTTTGCATGTTTTCTGCACAATAAAATTCTTATTAAAGGTAATTAGTGGGATTTTAACATGCTCCGTCAGGATTTTGTCTAGAAATAGATGTCATCTTCGGTAGGCAGACAGCTGAAACTGAAGAGCGTGAAGAGACTCTACAAAATGCACTCCCATACTGCA